TTGCTCTACTTGATGCTTGGTACCAGACCGGATCTGGCATTCGCCGTGACCAAACTAGCACAGTTTGCGTCTAACCCATCTGAAGAACACCTGAATCGTGCACTCTATATCTGCCAATATCTAGTCGGGACAAAGGATTACTCCCTAGTCTATGACGGTGCTTCACAGTCAGGCCTTGTCGCCGGTACTGATTCAGACTGGGCCTCTGATCCCAACTCTTGTTGGCCACAGACCAGTTTCTTCTTGAAACTAGCAAACAGGATTTCTCGTGGCAATCACGAGCACAAAAGACCATTGCTCTTTCTTCTACGGAAGCTGAGTACATGACAATGAGCGATTGCAGTTGCCAAGTGGTCTGGGTTCGCAACCTACTTGCTGAACTTAACTACCATGTCGATCACATACCTCTATCCGGAGACAATCAAGGATCGATCTTCATTGCATCGAATCCTGTGACGGAGTCAAGGTCAAAGCACATTGACATCCGATATCACTATATCCGTGAGGTACATGATAAAGGAACCGTTGATGTCTTCTATATAGATGGAAACGACAATCCTGCGGACATTTTTATCAAGAACCTTGGTGTAGTGAAGTTCTTGAAACTTTGCTCACAACTTGGTCTCCGCTTCCCAAAGTCCAGAGCTGCTTAAAGTGCCTGCTACGCTTACATAACCATTTGTATGCTTAGCGAGGGGGAGTGTTGAACAGGCGCTGATTTACACAGCTTGCCTAACACAGCCGTCACAGGATATGGAACGGCACAGCCGGCTACTGCAATAACCAAGGCTGTACTACTCATGTGGTACACGCACAGCTTCGCTGTGCGACAGTGCATCCTGGGAAGATACTGTATAGTACTACGTAGCCACAGATGTACAGTAGTATATATAGGGGACCTCTGTACCCCCAATCTATAGTTCAGTTCACTCGAACATCTCCTCTCATCGCTCTAACAAGCCTCTTACAACCAACAACCCTTCTAGGTGAGTTGCAGGCTATCCGCTGTCGTTGCCACCCGTGGGAGAGGCTTTCGCCCCCCAGGTTCAACAAATTGAACGCAGGCTGACTCTGGATAGAAGAACAGCGGTACTTGCAAAGGGCAAGAAAGACCTCAAACAAGGTGATGTAGCCATGATATGGGCACCGATCATTGATGGCTATAAAGAACTACCCGAGGGATGGGTCGGCAATAGCGGGGTTTTAGTGGGTATTAAGAGAGGACAGGGATAAGGCGGAGGTCTCGACTGACGCCTTAGATGAACTGAACTCTCTTCGAGTCCCACACTCTGTGCGTAAATGCATTTCCCCGTTTGGTATATGGTGGCGTAAGAATGACTTTCTCATCTCAATGGCCTGGCCGGGGTACTTTTACCTAACTATGTCACCAAACACTTTCCGACTGCCCTAAGGGCGGGAATCTTAATCTACTAGACATGCCCTGAGACTTTGTACTTAGGGACCACAGTAGATTAGATGTACGGGAATCAAAAGTGTTCCCACTCAAGGTATGGTAATCTAATCTAATCTGACACGTCACCTGACCGCGTTCTGACAGTATGCGCATCAAGAGGACTCAGACTGGCTACCACGATGAAGACGGAGATGAGGAGATCGAGGATACCTTCAAGTCGACCATCGACCGTTGCCCGTCGATAGGACTTACCGTGAACCCCTTTGCAGTAGTGACATGCGGTCCGTGTATGATCGGAGTTGTTCCTGAGGACAAGAGGCTTGCAAAAGGCACCACTAGGCAGTGCTGTCCGCGTCAAAGTCAATGTGTCAATGCGTGTCAATGCTATCGACCGACCTTGATAAACTCGGGGCTGTGAAGACAAAGATTAGATCTGACTAGAGTCGAAGCAAGATCTTCAGTCAGTAAGGAAAGACTATATTGCAGCAACAAACTGTACCCAGAGTCGAAGCAAGACTACAAAGGTTAAGTAAGTAACTACAAGTTAGAGATAGATGTAACGAAGTACTCACTCTTCAGTCAGTAAGGAAAGACTGAAGAGGGAGGACGCAATCTGAAGTCCTTATATACTACAGAGAAGTGTCCATGACTAATCGAAGAGTGGTTAGTCACATGTACTATAGTGCGATG